AAAAAAAAAAAAAAAAAAAAGGGAGAAGAAGAAGACGAACAAAAAGGAAAACGACAGGAGAGGGAATGCAATTATTGAATCGTTCGTTCTCGCGTGAATCGTAGTGAATTTTGATTCGGATTACGCAGTTATTTTTCCTATCGCTCTTCCTTCTCTCGACAGTTTCGCATATTGGATTCTCGTCTCTTACAAAATAAAAAATAAAAGCGCACTGCGTGTTATAATCGGTGAGAAGGAAATCTAGAGAGAGAACAGGGGAGAGAATTAAAAAATGCATACGTGGTCATCAAGTATGATCGAAAGCTTCGCTTATAAGCAGGCGCTGTACGATGGTTCTCCGGAGTGTGAAAGACGTACGGAAAGTAGAAGAAGAAAATGAACAAAAAGGGACAGCTCTAGGCGTTCGAACGCGAAAGACTGAAGAGTGAAAAATCGAAAAGGTATCTCTCTAAGGTAAGATATCATTTACGCTCTAACTAATTTTTATCATCTGCTCGTTTCGTGCCTACGATCGTGTAATATCGATAGAGATCTATGAAATCTAAATATTAATTCACTGGAAACTATCGACATTCTCAAAACTTCAGGTCGCACTCGCAGGTTCGTCGCTAGACACAAATAGTTACAGCTGAAATTTCTTAAAATCTTCTTTTTTTCCCCCCTCTCCTCTTTTGCTGGGGAGTCCCGGCCGAAATTTCTATCATTTCCCTCTTCGTTTCAACTTCGCCCACGTGTGCGATTATCGCGTATCGTTCGATAATCGTCAACGCAACGATTTCCCGTCTCGTTCGGTTGGGACTCCACCGTCACCCCTTACGCTTTATCTTACTTCTCGTTTTAACCTTTAATACGAACATTTAGGAAGATAGCGCTATCGATAATTAATATTTTCTGAAATTTTTTAACATTCTCTATATAAAAATCTGCATTTGCGTGTATTCACTTATTGCTTCTTAATCGTCGCCATTTTTTTTTTTTTTTTTTTTTCAGTAGCTTTTTCGTTCTCTTTCTCCGGAGGCTGGACGCGCTCGTCCACACGCGACGTTTCGATGTGTGCCACACACGAAACGATCGTACGATCGAACACGGATAGCCTCGCAGGACCCTTCCTTCGCATTTTTCGAATGCAAACGGAACGACCTTGTGTAAGAATCTCCTAATCGACAGGCCCGACGCACCGATGAATCGCAGCCGAGAAACGAGCTTACACATTCCACATTACATTACGTTTATTTTCTGTATCGCGCAGAGCAATTTTAACTATCGATCGCTTCTTCTTCTTCTTTTTCTTCTTCTTCTTCTTCTCCTTTTCGTTCTCTCTTTGTCCATCCATCGCGGCGTCGAGCCTTTGCCAACTATATCTCTAGCGTAATTCGTTAAATTAAGGAATTAAAAAAATTCTTCCCGTGGCTCGCCCCCCGACTTGCTTGGAAGCGTTCGAGTCGCTCGTCATTGATTTAACTCGACGAACGTCCGCCGGTTTAAAACGAGTCGTTCCACAGGTTCGTGGTGCGCCTGGGAAGCAGTCTTTACGATCAGCGAACGTGGATGTAACAAGATACAGACCATCCATCGCGACGAAACAAGCCATTCCATCCCCCTAAAGACGAGATTTCTTACATTTAAGTGCACGTCAGAGATTCTCGACCGAATGCATGTTTCTGTTTCCCTATATGCATTTGAAAATCAATAGCCGTCAATAGAGAAACAGAAACATGCTTCTTCGTTGCGATCGATATAAAATGCTGATCCGACGCTTACAAGATTTTCGACCGAAGCATGTTTCTGTTTTCCTATATACATTTGAATGTCAATAGCGTATAGCAAAATAGGAACATGTCTCTCCATTGCATTTGACGCTTATAAGAAATTCCCCACCTAATAACGCTATAACGATTGGTTACTTACAGCAGTGATTTTCACCAGAGAGCGGTGAACTCTATTAAGAATTTACAGATTCTAATTTTTACTATGTACAGCGGACTTACTACGTTGCCTCTTATCCGGCCAATACTTATACCGTAGAAATGGATCGTAGCTTTTCTATAGCAATAATACGCTTGAACATAAAGCACTTGACAATCGTGCAGTGCTTCTTATTGTTAGAGATCCAACAATTATTCAGCAAAATCTATTTATCTATGAATTATATTATTGGTTTATCCGGAGGCTGGCCAGAGAGAGTTTAACCGTATAAAGGAACAGTCAGATAACTGTGGATCCATAAAAAGTAAGAAGGTAGAACTACTAAATGTAAATGAATACAAACAGATACATGTATTTAAACGATAGCGCTAACCGCTGAAAATCATACGACACTACATGCACGTCACCGATCGTTACAGCGTTAACCCGAACCTAAATTATCGTATAAAGTCGCTACGCGTGCACGCTGGGGTGTGGACATTGCGTCTGCGATGCGAAACAATTCGAACAGCACTCGTTGAAAAAAGTAAATCTACTACTTTATAGCCGATCTCGCTAACATTCTCTCTGCCTCTGTGTGTATCCGCTTTCGCGTCTTCGCGAAAACTCTTCTACATCAACGTCAACCGTCACGCCGAATCTTTAACCCGTCGTTGCTTCGAAGAATTTACTCGGTACGCCCGTCGTCGATCTCGAATTCCCTCGTCTCGCTCT